CACAGTGACAGCGAATAGAGGGGGTGTGTGAGCAGGAAGACGGAGAATTTCAATGTCTTCGTCCTCTGCTGCCAGTGTGTCTGTTTTTGAAGGATCTGGAGTGAAATTATCAAAGGTATATTTCCCAGATACACTAGAGGGACAGTCAGAGTTCCTTTAAGGTAAAGGTGAGCCTTTCACTCAAGAATCTGTAGGTCTGAGATATGAGCACCCAGGTGACCTGCCCACTTAGGGTTAGTGTTCAGACCATCCTGTGCGGTTACTTCTGGTCACTGAGCTTGTCAGACCTGCCATGCAGCTTTCTCAGCTTGTCAGGTCTGTGTACCACCTTGTCATTCACACCATCGTGTATAACAGGGATTCTGTCCCCAAAGGAGCCCTTTATTTTATTATTATTTTTATTTTTTTATCCTCACCCAACGACAATTTTTCCATTTTTTGTTCAGATAGAGTGGGAGGGAGAGAGAGAGAAACATCGACGTGAAAGGGACTGTCCGATGGCCTGGGGACTGGCACCAGGCAAAGTGCTCGACCATTGTCTCGCTTGCTCAGCCTTGCCTCCCACCCTGAACGGCCTGCCTGGAGCTTGTAGATTAACTCCCATCTTGCTCTGATAGATTCACATTCCAGAGGCTCCATGCATAGCCCCCGCAGGGCCAAACCCTAAGGGACAAATCCCAGCTGCAACAGGCAGATATAAAAGACACGAGCCCCTACATTAAGCGCGGCTTCTAGGACTCGACCCCCGGAGTCTGTGAACCCGCCCGGAGTGCACCCAATAAAGCCTGATCCCTGTTTATTCGGCTGATTGGCTCTCCAGTCTCTTCTCTGTTTTATTTGGTGGTGCCCTCGATTCCTTACAGGGACACATCGAGTGGCTGCCACCCGCACGACCAACCAGGGCCGGGGACAAATTGCAACAGAGGTACGCGCCCTTAGCGGGAACCAAACCCAGGTCTCTCTGGACCGCAGGCCAATGCTCTAACCACTGATCCAAACCGGCCAGGGTCCCAAAGGAGCCCTTTAGAATGGCACACTACGAGGGACAATGTCAAGTAACACAGTGGGCACATCTGGCCATGAAGAGCAATCACTCCCTTACATTCGCTACCCCATTCAGTTTGTAACAACCCTGTGACATGGTTCTAGGTGACTGTCCTGCAAAATTTTCTTGGGAAGTTCCATTGAATCCCAGGATTTCCTCTTTGCCAGAGGCCTTCACAAGCACAAACAGGTGTTGCTTAAAAATAGCCCAAAGCTCCTGTCGCTTGGATTTAATGCTTGTCGTGAAAAATTTGGTCACTTGATCACTACAACAAAATAGACCCATGTTGCAACTCTCTAAAAAACTAGCAGTGTGTTATTCCTGGGGTTACTTCGTTTAAGGCCATTACGTTCCAAGACCAGTACAAAACTTTACTAGAATCCCAGACTCAGGAAGAATTTCCATAAATTGTTAGAAACCAGTTTCAAGATGTCTCCTTTAAATGTCCCACTAAGGAATGTATTCAAAATGAACAAACGTTTGATAATAGTGACCCACAAAAGTCCTGGTGCTGCTTATTCTGTTTGTTCCCTCCCAGATTCTCTGCCCTGTTTATGCTCCAGGAAACTGATTTTCCAAACTGCTTCTCCAAGGCTCCTTTGCCCCTTGGCTTCTATTTGAGATCATTGGCCAAATGATGGGAGAGAAGCTGGGGGTGTCCATCCTTCCCCACTGCTTAGCTGTGGTTCTGATGATGCCTGCAGCCCGCCCAGGACACGGGTCCTGTGGACAGCCCCCCTCCTACAGGCCAGGTCTCAAGGCTCTGGCAACACCGGCCCTCCCTTGTCCACGCAGACCTAGAGGTGGTAATGATTTCAACCTGTTCCCAGTCCTCCGGGCTTCACGCCCCTGTGTATTCCTCAACTTAACCCTGCCCGACCATCTATAAATAGTCCCTTTTAAAACTTCTTATTCAAGTCCTTTGAGTATGCTGTTTCTCTTCTGCCAGGACTCATACAGTCCTTAAATTCAGTGCCATTTGGTGTAGTTTTCTAACATATCTCAGAAACAATTGAACACTTGAATTCAAATCATGTCTCCATTTTAAAGTTGCCCATTATTATAACCAGTGAAGTGCTGACAAATGTGTCACACTGCCTGTGGAGTCTGGAGAGGTCTGCTTGGTAGCACTGGATGGTTTTCCTGTGTGTCTGCCCCACCAGGGCCAAATAAACCCACCAGCATGACTTCCCTGGACATGGGGCCGGGAAGAGAGGCACAGGAACACACTTTATATAGTATTTCTACCACCTAGATATAATAGGCAAAAATAACCTCGAGTATCTGTAAGAGTAAAATATAGTAAAATAAGTAGGAAGTGATTGATTTTGATTACTTTTGTTCCTAACATAATTCATTCAGTTATGTTTATATATGTTCACTTTAACAATGGCCACGCTTAGCACCTGGTTGCAAACGTGAAGGTGCATCACTTGCCAAGTTGCTCAGCCACTGGAAGAGCAAACAGATCTATATCCACAACCACTTGGTCAATTAAATCTGCTCTTTTAGCTTTCCCTCACATTTTACCATATATTTTAAATACACCTTGATAACTTTGTTCTAAAAATCTTATATTTGACTCAAGTTATTCCAGTAAACAGAGAAAAAAGTGATATATAAGAAATAGGTCCTTATAAAACTATAAGCTAGTTCTATGCATTCAGAGTGGTGAAAATGTTTATCAAATAATATTTTCTGGATTTTTTTTTTAGATGACTATAAACCTGGTCTCCAGGATCATAACATTTATCATGATTACCATTATTATCATCTAACATTTCCTTATGAGAGAATTCATCCTTTGAGGGAAACATATTACTTTTATAATCATACTACGGTATGTATCTAGTCTAAATGGTGGTAACCGTCAGTTGTTACAACTAGAAACATTTAAAAAGTGGTTAAGGTGCATTTTATTTTAAAGTTGCTGTCCTGAAACCAATGAGATTGAACTCTGAGCCCGGAACAATTATGAATACCAACTATTACTCATTTCCTTCTGGATATCCAGGCTTGCTGCTCCCTGGCTGTGGCACACAACCTGTTACCAATCAGTCAGTGAGTGGGCATGAAGTAAGCGCATTACTCAGTGTCTGCGTAAATAACAGGCCCTCAAAAACTACCCCGTCTGCACCCAGGCAAGCCCAGAATTTTCCAGGATGAGGTGGGACTCCACATCCTGCGGCAACCTCTGAATGGGAGTGGGAATTAGGATGCAGAACAGATGCAAGAACACCATCAGATCTCTCTCAGCACAAAGCTCATCTCTCTCGAAGTATAAACCTGGTGCAAAGCTGGTCCCACCAGCTTTTTAAGCAAGACTGTTTCCACTTTCTCCATCGCAACTAATCTTCCCTTAAAGAAGAATGTCTTCTTAAACCAGCGGTTCTTAAGCTCTAGGGTCCATCAGAATCACCCGGAGGGCTTATTAAGCAAGTAGGTTTGGGGTAGAATCCAACAGATTTTGTGCTTCTAACAGGTTCCCAGGTCCAGTACCCTCTGTTGGCTAAAGGCATCATGTATTCTGCTGAAAGACAAGGGAAAGAATACATTCTGATAGCTTATGTAGATAAACCAAACCAAAAATTTACAAACATCTAAATGACAATTCATTAGTCCTAATCCTTTTCTTCAAGGTAATATTTTCAGTAAAACTTTTCTCAGAATAACAGTAATGGCAGTCAGGCAATCTTACACCATGGCTGAGAAATATGGGGCACACTAATGCAACATTAAAAGAAACTAAGGATTTTTTCAAATGACAGTTTTCAAATCTTTCCAATTTCATTGCCTTCATTGACTGTCCCAATCTTCTTGATGTTTCTCTGCTCCTAAAGGTACAATGTTTCAAGTCCTTTCCTCAGAATTTAGCATTATATACAAAAATTACGAAACACCAAGCATTACTAACTTTAGTTTCAGGTGAGTTGTCTTGACCTCAGTTGGATTGTGAAATCATTGCTATCCCAGCTACCTCTGATCATTTCCTTTTCATCTTGCAGAGCACTTAGCAAATGCCTTCCAGGAAGTGTGCAGTCAACTAAATACTTTTTACTTATGTTTCCTTGGGGAAAACTGAAGTTTTCTCTGCTGCAAATTCTAATAAAAATAGCACCTCCCGGGGTTACCTTAAAGATAAATGGTGATGGAATCTAGCACTTTATTTCGAGGCCTGACACCAAATAAATGGTAGCGATTAGGATCTTTCATGCCATCCTTCAACACACACCTGTTCATAATTTTCCCAGTACAAGCAGGGCTTTAATTTTTAGCCTCCTTTTCTTCTGTTGTGCCAGATGCCTAGTATGTCCTTCCACCTCATCCCCTCCAGTCTTCGGTTCTAAGCCTCATACTAGAAAGCCTAGGCGCTTAGCTGAGGGACTACAGAACTACCTGGGTTCGAAAATGTAGCTCTCCCCACCTGACTTTGCTTAAGTTATGGAATCTCTCCGTGTCCTGGGGGTTTCCTTATTTATGAAATGGGGGTAATAATAGTACCTGTTTTACAGTTTTGTAAGATTATTTGCAATTTGCAACAGTGTCAAGTGCTAGGTAAGTGTTACAGGCTGCTGTTAGTGTTCGCTGTCCACCATCTGCACCAGCAATGAGCTCGTTGGGAGTGAGGCTGTCTCATCTCTGAATCCACGGTGCCTAGAACAAAGTCAGCGTTGCAATAAATCTGAACAAGAACTTAATGCACGTGAAAACCGAGGAAATGGGTTTCAATATGAGGGTGGTGGGAAAGGGGGGCGACGGGAGCAGGGAGCAGGGCGTGAGTGCAGAATCGGAGCCCAGCGGGGAGGGGCGCGGCTTCCCTTCCCGGGCTCGCGGCGGTCAGGTGGAGCCCTGGCCGGAGGAGGGGCAGCAGGAAGGGGTGCGGTCGCGGGTGCGGTCGCAGTAGCGGTCGCCTTCGCTGGCCGGCTGAGGACCAGCAGTGGAGCAGCGGCGCGCGGACGCACACCTGGCTCGCGGGGCTCCGGCACACCTGGCTCGCGGGGCTCCGGCACACCTGGCTCGCGGGGCTCCGGCACACCTGGCTCGCGGGGCTCCGGCACACTTGGCTCGCGGGGCTCCAGCACACCGGCCGGCTTCAGAGTAAGTCCGGCCCCCCCCGCGCGCAGCCGCGTGACTTGCCCAATTCCCCGCGGGGTCCCGGGCCAGGCTGAGTTGGCAAACCAACCGGGCAGCACAGGGGCAGAGTCCGGGGGGGGGGGGGCCTCGGCGGGCACGGAGTTCATGTCCCACATTTCAGAATCGAGGAAACACGCCCAGGGGAGCAAAAGAACCCTGCTCTGGGAGGGCCACTCAGCTATGGTCACCCCCTGGTGCAAGCTGACACTCAGCAGTCCCGGCTCCCTGGATTCTTCACATTTTGTCCAGCTAGCAGAGTAGGGATCCAGCTGGCCATCTCTCTCTTCCCAATTCTGAAGGTCTTGGGAATCTTCTAGAAAAGCAGGGCGTCAGAAGGGTCCTCTGGGTCCAGCGGTCCCGGGAGGGGTGGGGCAGGCTCCAAGCTTTGTTCTGCTTACTAGGAACCCCACCCATCCTAGTGAGCACGCTGTCCTCTTCACGTGGACAGTTTATTTTGTTTTACTTTTTTTTTTTTTTTAAGGAGGTAGAAGAAAAGTGTGTTTAGATACTGAGCGTTGGGAATCTGATAAGTTTGCGTTTTCTTAACCGGGCTCACTGTTTTCTTTGCCTGCAGCATGAATCATTCCCCTGGCATTTGGCTTTGGAGTCAGCAGGTGGGGGATATGAGTCCTTGATTGCAGATGGACACACTTTTATAGGAAATTGTGGTTAGGGGGCTGGGGCCTGGGGCTGGAGGGCTTTTGGCTGCTGCTAAGTTGCACCACCAGAGCTAAATTCTTTCCAAGGATTTCTTATCACAGACAGCAAGATTTTGCCCTCATTTACAACTCTTTAAAATCATTATCATAATAAATGTAACTCATTAAAAGTTACTTTGTAAAGATGTTACCATCCACTTTCATGAAGGCAGAACACTTCAAACTGACAAGAAAGGGAATTTAAAGATGTCAAGAAAACCAGAATCTTGTTCCCAGAACCATGTGGTTGTGTAGAGAATCTGTTTAGAAACAGGGATGCAGGAGGAAGTGAAAGGAAATGATGTAACCCCTCTAATCCCTGTCAGGAAAGGATGCTTCAGGTTGTCTTGTTAGGTCATTTGGCCTCCACTGAGGAGTAATTCTTTATTTCTTAAACCTTATCCCTGGCCGGTTTTGTTCAGTGGTTAGAGCGTCGGCCTGCGGTCCAGAGAGACCCGGGTTCGGTTCCCACTAAGGGCATGTACCTTGGTTGCAGTTTGTCCCCGGCCCTGGTTGGGTCGTGTGGGTGGCAGCTACTCGATGTGTCCCTTTCACATCGATGTTTCTCTCTCTCTCTCTTTCTCTCTCTCTCTCTCTCTCTCCTCCCCTCTCTCTCCCTCCCACTCTATCTGAACAAAAAATGGGAAAATGTCCTCAGGTGAGTATAAAAAAAAAAAAAAACTTACATCAGTAATAATTTAGAAATTATACTGTACCAACACATACTGAATATCAGCTTGACTGTGTATGGAGCAGCCACTTGGGTAAGGTAGAGGCTTATTGGAGAATGGCTGCCTACTTTCAGTCCCTACTCACTAGCTGTGTGACTGGACTGTTATTTGACCTCTCTGTGCCCCACCTTCTTCATGTGCAAAGTGGAGATGTTATTAGTGATACTTAACACCCTGGATATGTGAGGCTTATATTAAATATATTTTTTATTGATTTTTTTTTAAGAGAGAGAAAGGGAGAGAGAAATTGAAACATCAGTGTGAGAGAGAAACATCGATTGGCTGCCTCCTGCACGTTCCCTACTGGGGATCAAGCCTGAAACCCAGGCATGTGCCCTGACCGGGAATCGAACCAGAACCTCTCAGTCCATGGGCTAACTCTCAATCCACAGAGTCACACTGGCTGAGCTCTGAGGCTTATATTAAATCATTCATTCATTCTATGAGCTTTTTTTTTTTATTATTATTGCCTTATGTGCCCCAGTGAGCAAACATAAAAAAAATTAAAAGTCTAGCTTTACAAAATTAATCTTTTAGAGCTTTTTATATTACCTGGCACATAGTAAGGGCTCGAAAAACTAGCTGATATGATGATACATATTATTTTATTCAATGCCAGCAACAGCCCTCCTCCTTTTACCAGGTAAGAAAACTGAGGGGCAGAAACATTGTGTCTAGCTTTAAAAGGCAAAACAAGAACTAGTGCCCTGGCCAGTTTGGCTCAGCAGTTAGAGCATTGGCCCATGGACCAGAGAGTCCCAGGTTCGGTTCCCGCTAATGACACATACTTCGGTTGCAGTTTAGGCCTGGCCCCAGCCCCTGTTGGGGCCGTGTGGGTGGCAACCAGTCGATGTGTCTTTCTCACATAAATGTTTCTCTCTCTTTTCTCCCCCCTCCCCCCATCTGAAGATAAATGCAAAATGTCCTCAGGTAAGGATTTAAAAAAAAAACAAAAAAACTAGTGATACCTTGTATCCACTACCTATAGAGAGGAACATATATGGTGTTAGACCCTGTAACTAGAGAGCCCACTGCCCTCTGCTACAGAGAGCCTGAGAAAATCAGGGCTAAATATTTTCAGTGACCAATGGTGTAATTTCCTGTTGAACTTTGTTTTAGGGCTATCATTGTATTTTTAGACTATTTTGTTCCCAGGATGGGTGGGAGCAACTTGCATTTCTAAATCAACCCTGGAGATAGATCAGCATGTTTGAGTAACGTTGACTTATGGGTTCCCAACTGAGGCTCCATGGAAGAGCCGCCCTCTGCATTCTACCCGAGGACTAGACGTCTGTCCAAGGGCAGGCATGTCTGTCTGTAAAAGTCTGTAGGCTTGGATCCTTGTAAAATGTAAATAAAGATTTCACTGTCAAGCACAAGGAATCAAGTTGATTCCTTGTACGTTGATGGAGGGCAGGAGGGGGGCAATTTCCTGTGTTTTTGTTGTTCTCTACCACGGTGGTCTGTCCTGATTAAAAGAAGTCAACAATCAAAGTAGTTCCACTGGATTTTAAATGAGTCATAATTGGCTTTCCTGGAAACATATTTATAAGGCCCTTAAGTCAGAAAATTTTTCTCTCTTTTGAGCCCTTCTCTTATATACGGTAGGCTCTCAGTAAATGTTTGTTTAGCAAATGGGCTACTTGATGTTAAAAACACATCCTCTTCTGGGAGGGGTTTCTCTTTGAATGTTGGTTCTGTTTTCTGGATTAAAGATTAAGAGTTGGTGAATTTACTGTGTTTGGAATCTTAGACTTGTTCCCTTTGCTAATTTTTTCCCCCTTTTAATAGGTTAGTGTGATCTGAACTCAAGGCAAAGGTGGGACAGCATGGCATCTCTCTGGGTGAGTAAAAATTAAGCCTTCCTAACACAGTAACTTATCTGAGTCCAGTCAAATTACAAAGAAAAGTATTTTGGAAGTTGATAAAAAGTTCACCTGAAAAAAAATTAACTTGCCAAAAAAGCTCACAGATGTCCCAAAATAATGTATTTTAGTAGTACATAATTAAAATAATTTATGATGACACCAAAGGAGAGAGGTCAATAACAGAGAATTTATTTAGTATATGATTTAGGAATTTATTATACGATAAAGATGATATTTCATAGCAGAGAGAGAAAAAATGGCTTTTTCAATAAATCATGTTAGGAAAACTTCCAACCACTGGGGAAAAAAAGTAAATCAGTATTTCTTCTCCCTTCTTAATTAAATTTCAAATGGATGAAAAGACTGAAATGAAAGAGATGGGATGTGGGTACCATTTAAATATAATCTTGGAGTGGGGGAGGCACTTAAAACCGTGGCACAAATCAAAAGCCTAAAAGAAAAATATCGATCTACTTAACTATGTATAAATTTATAATTCATGATAGCAAACAATACTATCAGTAGAGTCAGACAACCCACAGGGGGGAAATATTTACAGCACATCAGACAAAAGAGTTATTTCCTTAACATACAAATAACTTGAATAAATCAATAGGAAAGATGAATTCGATGGAAAAATTTGCAAGGGACATGAGTAGGGCATGAAAAGAATTGTAAGTGTTCAGCAAACATATGAAAACATGATGCACCTCACTGAAAGTGAAAGAAATGTAAATAACACAATAAGAACTCATTTTCTACCTAAGAAATTGGTAAAGGTGAAAAACAAAAAAAACGTAGTAAGACCACTGTTGCAGAGGATTTGGACAAGACAGGTGCTCATCCTCTGTTTCTGGGAGAATAAACTTGGCATGCTTTTGAGTATGATTTTTGTCAGTATCTATCAATGTTTAAATATACACATCCTTTAACTCAGTAATTTCACTTCTGGGTATTTATCATATAGATATACTAATATAAGGTTGAAAAAATAGGGGCCTGAGGATATTCATTTGTATTAATGAAAATATGCAGACAGCATAAATGGCCACCCATCGGGTATAAAATTAGTAAATTACTCGTTTGTAATTCACAGCCATTTTTATGTGATCATTAAAAAGAATGGGGGTGGGGTGGGGGGGAAATGGATCAGCTTTATATATACTGACATAAGAAAATGTCCAAAGATATATTAGTCAATGAATACAAGCAAGTTATAGAATAATATGTATAGAGTAATTCTGTTTACATAGACATATATATGTTTATATATACATACATATTCTGTATCACATGAAAACTTTCTGGAAAGGTGGAACTGTGAACAAGGGTACTTTTATTTTCTGATGCATCACCTCATCACATTCTGTGCTTTGATTGTTATTTGATAATGAACATGTGTTATATTTTATAACTAAGGGGAGAGGAGGCTTTAAGAAGAGCTCATATGGAACTGACCAGCCCTTGATGTGAGCAGTGTTGGGGGCAGGGATGCTGTTACAAGGCTTTGCTGGGACCCCAAGATTATTTCCTTATCACTGGCCAGGAGGCTGATCATTCCAAAGCCTTTTTTAAAGTGTCACTTGCATGTTCTACTTTGAGAATATGTAAACATACATACATTTATATATTTTTAGGTCTGAAATTCCTGCTACTATTATGGATATCTAGTAGAGTCAGATGAAAAAAAAAAAACATCTCTCCAAAACACGGTATTAAAAGAAATAATAATATTCTCCCTGTCGCCCTTGCCCATTAGTAGTAGACGTGGAGTGAGCCGGCCAGGCTGGCCAGTGGCTCTCCCAACGCCGTGGCTCAGTCCTGATCAGCTGGGACAGACCCAAGGGAGTGAGAGGGTGTATTAATTTCCTGTTGCCACCATGACCAAGCACCACGAATTTAGCTGCTGAAAACAACACCCACTTATTATCTCACAGTTTTATATGTTAGAAACCCAAAGTGGGTCACGTGGCCCAAACATGAGCAGTGGGAAGGGCTGTGTTTCTTTCTGAAAACCTGGGGAAGGCTTCATCTCTGAGCTGACTGTGGTTGTTGGCCAAATCTAGGTCCTTGCCGTTGTAAGACCGAGGTCCCTATTTTCTTGCTGGTTGTCACCAGGGACTGTCCTACCCCCAGAGGCTTCAGCCAGTCCTTGTCTGTGGCCCCTACAGCTCAGACAGCAACTGTGCACTGAGTGCTCACATATGCATTTCTTTGGTTTTCCCTCTGGGGCCTCTCTCTTCTGCCCGCCTTTTCTCCAGTCAGTTGGAGGCAGCTCTCTGCTTCTGAAAGCACCTGTGGCTAGGCTGGGCCCACCCAGACAATCCAGGATCATTTCCTGATTCCAGGGTCTGGAGCCTTCATCACTTTGGCCAAGTCCCTTTGTCCCGCGACGTAACGCTTTCCCAGGGTCCAAGGATCACGGTGCGGGCATTTAGAAGGGGGCTCGCGCTCTGCCTACCGCGGCGGGCTAGGAGTGTGGCGGCCTTGCGGGGGTCACATCCACCTTTGGGAGCAGGAAGGAAAGGACAGAGCAGACCAGAAGGGAAGCTGTGAGCGAGGGGAGAGATCCCCTTGAGTGAAGGATCCCCTGGCTCCTGCTGCCTCTTCTGTTTCTCCCTGTTGTCTCCCTCTTCTCCCAAGAACTGTCATCTCTGAGTGAGAGCTGAGAACGAATATTAAAAACAACTAGAACTACTATGGAAAACAGGCTGGCAGTTTCTCAAAAAATAAATAAATACATAAAAAATAGAACTACCCTATGATCCGGAAGTTCGACTTCAGGATAAACATCCGAAAGAATGGAAAGCAGGGTCTCAAAGCGCTGTTTGCTCTCCCATGTTCACAACAGCCAGATGCGGACACGCCTCAAATGTCCATCGACTGGTAAGTGGATAAACAAAATGTGGTCTATATATAAAATGAAATATTATTCAGTTTTTAAAAGGAAGGAAATTCCGACACATGTTACAACACAGATGAGCCTTGAAGACATTCTAGTAAGTGAAGTAAGCCAGTCATAAAAAGACAAACTACTCCATGGTACATTTATATGAGGTATCTAAAGCAGTCAAATTCGTAGAGACAAAATAGAACTGTGGTTGCCAGGGGTTGGGAAGGGGAAAAGGGCAGTCGTTGCTTTGTGGATACAGGGTTTCTGTTCTGCAACATGAAAAAGTCTGGAGACCTGGTCACAACACTGAACACTTTCAGCACTACTGAACTGGGCACTCAGAAAGGGTTAATGTGGTACATTTTATGCTATGCATTTTTACCGCAATTAAAAAAAAAAACCACTCAGATTTGTATAAATATTCTTATCACTAAGTTTTATCTGTTCTCTTGTTCCTTATGCACAAAAACACAAATGAGCAATCAAGTCAGTGTTTTTCTACAAACTGTAGATGGGTTTGTGGTTACCAGTGTATGGTGAGTTTACTGGAGTAATCTGATCAAGGGGGAAGGCTTCAGCTGCAATTTCAGTATTTAGGGTTGAAGATGAAAGAATGGGTGATTTGCGAGGTCTGTATGTTCACTCTAGGAGTGTTGCAACCTCCCATTGTTTCAGATGAGTGAACAAAGTAGGTTGCATTACTGTTTCCTTTGTAAATGTTGACTGTTCAGGCACCTGTTCTACTACTTGACGCTGGTGCAAGGACCTGAGAGCTTAGTGGTTTGCACTCTTTGATTCCGGGTCCTTGGTCATATAACGCTTTAGGTCCATAGCAAGCACTTAGGCAACCTACAAATAAGAATGTCTTGGAACGTGACTTTTTAATAAGTTATGTAGTAGTGGGTTGTTGTTTTTTTGTTTCGTTTTTTTTAATATGCACCTTCTACAATGCCGGCATTCTCATGCAAATATTCTGAGCTCTATCCTCCTTGGTCAAGTGTTAACTTACTTTTGCAGAATAATAATGAATGCAATTACTCTTTGTTTGAAACCACACATTAGTAATTTTATTATGGAACTAAAACATTTCTAAATTAACTCATAATCATTGCAATCATCACGAAACCTTATAACATCCTAACTTGTTATAGCGTCTCCCTTCCCCATTTCAGATTATAATTTGCAAAATGAAGGAGAACATAGAGCCACTTTGGACCCAAGGGATAAAAGCAGTTTCACAAAAATATAACTTGCCATAAATAGGCTGCCTACTGACTTTGGAAAGAGCATGTTCATAGGGCAGTTAAACAGCTGAAGCAGCGAGAGCCTGGTGCAGCGGGCTCCGCCGAGAGCAGACTGAAGACAGCAGAGCCACAGCCCAGTCCTCAGAACTCAATTCAGGGCGGGACTCCCGGCCCACGGGCCACACGGGGCCCAAGAAATCCATACCACTTAACATCACATGCCTCACCAAATTAGCTTGACCAGGCTAATTTTTAAGTTGATAATTTTGTATGGCCCTCAGATGATGTTATAAATATCCCAATGGCCCTTGGCAGATAAAAGGTTCCCCACCCTGCAGTATAACGCTGAGCAAATTTCTTCATCTCTCACTGTGGGTCTCCGCGTCTGGGTGTGCTGATCCTCCCGGCACGGAAGGTGCCTGGCGTGTGGTGTGCATTCGGTAAATATCATTATCATTATCGTTTCACTATATTAATTTTTTTCTAAAAAACATTTTCCTTGCTAATGATATCCCTGCAACTGTTTTAGTAAAGGAGAGTCTGCCTGTGTCCTGGGCACATCAGCAGCATCCCCCTCCGTTGGAGGGATTTCTCTGAGCTGCCTGAAACAGATGGAATTTCCCCAAGTAGAATCTTCTGACCACTCCTGTGGCATTTTCTAGTATATATGTATGTATATGTATATATTTAAAACTTTAATTTTTAAGAGCAATTTTAGATTCACAGCAAAATTGAGAGGGAAGTACAGAGGTTTCCCATATACCCCGTGACCCCACGCATGAACAGCCTCCCCTAACCAATATCAACATCGCCCACCAGAGTTGTCCATTTGTTAGAAT